GTTTGGGGGTCACGGTTCGGTACGGTTCGGTACAACAAGAAAAAGCAAAAAAAAAGTCCCAAATGCATAATTCCAGGTTTGTTGTTATTTATGTTTGAACAATAGTGCAAGTTTCATTTTAAAAATAAAGAACTCTGACATTTTGAATAATTAACTGTATTAAACAGTTAAAAACAAACCTTACACAGTACACTCAGATGGCCATATTATCTATAATGGCTGATGTCAAACAAAAAGGTTTCATCAAGCTGTAAAACTAAAAAGAATGTCTTGAAAATATGACATAAATATTAAGAAAGTGTTTCAAGAGCGCAAAGTCGTTGAAAAACATATGCCAAAAGCTTCCGTTATTTAGTTTTGGTCTCTCGGCTTTCATGTCTATTGGCTTCTTAAAAACAGCGGGGATCAGCTGTTGAACTGCTGTTGTCTTTTGCCAGGCTCCGGTGATTGGCAAATCTGGGTGATGCCTTCTGATATGATTTAGCATGTTTGGCGTGTGTTACCATTAGCATACCGCACCACTGTAGAACAACAGCGACAGACCGTCCTCGTCCGATCCACCACTCGTCCGATCCACCACTCGCACACTTAATCGTTATTGTAGTCCACAGGGAACCCGAAATGTTCCCACACAGCTGATTTAAAAGAAGCAGGTGGGTTCTAGCTCCTGTGTGTTATCTGAAATCGCCATACTAACTTTTCTTCTTCTTGTATTTTGTTCGTTTTGTTGTTGTGTTTCTTCTTGTTCTTCATTTGTCGTTTAAGGGCGGCTGGCAAACAGCTTTTAGGCGCAATTCCGCCCCCTGGATTAGCCTATATATAGTGTAGTGGATACTGCCCTGAATGACAGACTTTTTTCCCACTCGTAAAAAAAAGGCGTATTCGTCGTGTGACTACATGTGCCGAACCGTGACGTCTGAACTGTGACGGTACGGGACGAATACGGATACCGTTACACCCCTACCGTTCACACGAGACCGCTCGAAAGCGCTGGAGACGCTGTAGTACATATGCCAGGCCTGTAAGTGGCGCTGTAGTCCTGCCACAAAAGCAGCGAAGAAGACTTCCCGCGCATGGTTGCCATGGTTGCCATGGTTGCCCTTCTGTTTATTCTCCGCTCTGGCTCTTTTTCTCCCTCCCCGAGGCAAGCGTTTGCTCCTGTTGTAATTCTCTCCGGTTTGCCACCAGCAGATGAAAAACATCTACCTCTCCGCCTCTTCCAAGGGACGAGGGGACCATGCGGCAGAGTTTCAGTTTTTTTCCCCGGTCAACATGTCCGTTAAAGTTTAAATCTTCCGGACAAAATTAGAAAAGTGCCGGTCAAAGGTCTTCTTTGTTATTTATTGAGCTTTAAAACAAATGAATAACGACTCTATATAATCATATAAGAACAAAACATGGAGGACGGAGCCTCTCTTTTCCTCCCCCTCTTCTGTGAGCCCAGCAGCTGATCTCCCTCTCCTGCAGGGGGGTGTGGTCAGCTGCAGCTCATTTGCATTAAAGCTACGTCACAGAATCAGCCCTTGCAAAAACAGGGCTGGAATAGAGCAAATACAGCGAAATGAGGCATGGCTAAAATGCATGATCTGTTTGGTATTTTGAAAAAAAAACTTCACAGACATGTTATATAGGTATGGTCCTACAATATATTTTTCAAAATAGCATGATCGGTCCACTTTAAACGTGTCTCTATGCAAGCCACAGACTGTGTTCAAAGACAACCACAGAAAATGACTGCCGCAACCGTAGTTCCTGCTTTACATATCACATGCCTTTTGTAGCAACGTTAGATGCAACTACAGTATACTGATCAAAGCAGAGCATCTTTTCAAATATCCTGCCTGCAAACTTTAAAAGAGGATCATCTTTTCCTCCACCGTGAGGGAGCAAACATCAGCCATGGGATGCGGAAACACATTAAAAGATTATTTATCAATTTTATAAAACATGTTGATGGAAGTGTTATACTAGTTTGGTTGTTGCTACTTAGCATTCGGATATCAGCGTTACCCATATCATCACACACACACCACAGGAGCCCCCGCAGAAGCCGGATTTTATTCGTGATGGGATAAGCCCAGATGTTTGAAGTTATTGCCAGATCTTCAATGCTGACCACTGCATGGCACAACATTATGTGAAACAGGCGTAGAGCCTGTTTCACTTTCATTTAGAAAACACAAATGTATCTCTTTTTAAGCACTGTTTGTGTAGAACAAACAGTGCTTAAAAAGAGATACATTTGTGTTTTCTAAATGCCATGCTAACAAATTAGCTAAATATATACAATACTACAATGTCATCTTCTCAGAAGCCAGGTAAATACTTTCTATATATTAGTGTTGTCTATACACAATCCACTTATTTCTTGATGTTCTGCCATTAAAAAAAAAGAAGAAAAAATACAAAAATAAATTGCAAATTCAGCCACTGTCTGTTATCAGTCCTGTGAGTTGAAAACTGTATGTTTCTAAACAACTTGTTTAATTTAATGAGTAAAGGTGTTGGACACCCAAGTTCCAGAGAAACAAATCCAATACATATCTGCCCCCTCAAAAATTCAAGGGAAAGATATTTGACAATGTTTTGAGGCAGAAGCAAAAAATGGTGATATTTGATTTGCCCAAAACACATATTATTATCTTTTTGATCTGGTAGTCTATTAAGATACTTGTTGTTATATATATAATCAGATTTGTTCCACTAAAAGATATTACTGACAGAAAGGTCCCACATACAGTTCATTGCACCTTTGTTTGAAAGGTAATCATTTTCAGTTGGAAGAGCAACAATGAATTGCCTCATTCAGGAACTGGTTTACTTTTGAAATAATAAATATTGTGTGCAAAGTTTAGAGTCTGCACATTTCTCAGGAGTATGTAAATGACTGCCCGGCCTACTGCTATGACTTTCTATAACTAAGTCGAGTGCTTTCATGACCTATATTTGTATTCCTCTCTAATTTGCTAATGTTGTTCTCATGGCTCAGGAGAACCAAAAACAGGTCAATAACCAGGTTTGCACTGCAGGTGGGCTTTGTGAAAAGACACTAAATATAATACTGACTACACCAGATACGAAGTGTAAAACACATTTTGGTCTTACTCTCCAACTGGGGGATTGCTGTCAAAAAGCGATGTTAAAAATGGTATTGTGAATTAATTAAGAAATACAGGGCATGCTGGGAGAGTAAATGAGACAAGTGAATCATGGCATGGGTCTGCCACTGCATGTTTTTTTTCTTTGTGTTTTTAACTTCCTGTGTTCCCTCTGCTACCTTGTCTATGTGTCCCGATACCAATGTCGCCCCTGAAACCATGAGACCTGAACCATCACAGACTTAACTTCAAAACAGCATAATTAAGCAAAGCAAAGAAGAAAGAAATTGTGGATGAATATAATTGTATTATATAGCCTATGCTTGCATACCTCTGATTTCCTGTGCTGTTCAATAGATATTATAATGGGCCCAGGTGACAGAGCAGTAAGCTAAGTAAAGGTGCCCAGCTATCACTCAAAGTATTCACAACTTTTATTAGGTATAACTGTAAGCCTTAATAATATTTCAACAGGTAAGCTATATGAAACATTGTCCGTTTTTGGATAAAAGGCTGTAAACAATTTGAAACCTGTATTTCTGCTGTAAAGCTGGGCATTTTAACATTAGGTTCTTAGTAGAATGACTCTCTTGGAAGCCAGCCTCAAGTGGCCATTCAAGAAACCACACTTTTTAAATCACCGTAGGTTGCCGCTATGTTTCAATGCACAACACTAGGAATTTAAGGTATTTCCCTGGGGCAAAGTCCTGAAAGACATTATGGAAAGTGTTAAATAAAACGCCTGCTGCCAACTCTACCATGCTTTCACTGCCTGCGGTGCCGCCTAGCAGCTCTCCATTCCCTTCTTCCCTCTGTCGTACCTGGTCATCCCCTCTCCTCCACACATCTCTGTCGACAGTGACACGAGCCATAAACCTGTTACACTTCCTCTGCCTCCTCTGTGCTCTATGCTTGGTTCTACTTGGAAATGAAGGATTCGAATCAAAATCAACTTTTAAATTGTGACACTCGTGTATAAAGCACACAGTGTAATTTAGAGTCTGCATTCAACCCATCCTAGTATTAAAAGCAGTGGGAAGCTATACACAGCCCTAGGAGCAGTGTTGGTGTCTGGTCCTGATTTCCGTTGTTGCAAAAACTATTTTCATTTCTTTAATGGGTTTCTTCTCCTGAATGGATGTCATTTACATATTTTCTTTATAACTCTTGACAGGCAGCTGTCCCTAATAGTAATATTCAAAAGAAGAAAAGAAAACTAACAATGTTGATATTATGCGAGCCTAGGCTTTGACTGAGCAAAAGGCATACTGATAGCATGTCACAATTATCTTACAGAATAAAACAGACGTAAGCAAACTGTTTAAATCTGATTATAGACCAATACCTTTGTGTGCTACTGATAATGAATTCTAAGAGAATATTTGTGTATGCAGCGTTTTATTCAATTTCACTTTAAATTAAAAAAACAACCATATGAGACAATTTAAAGTGAAAAAAAAATTAATTTTTTTTTTACCTCTGCTGGGAATAACAGCGGTTGCCATCAGTGGAAAGATAATAAGTTTCCCATTTCTGTGATGCTACGTAACTGCCAGGAGACTGTCAACATCTTCTTACACCAATGAGAAGTAGAACAACTGAACATGTTAATTATTTATCGAGCAGCAACTGCAGAATTAGATAATGCAGAATCAAAGAGGGAAATCATTTGCATTGTGGAGAACATTAAGCTTCTGATCTGGAGGACAATAAACAATCCTTTTTCAAAACAGCATTGTTGTTCATTTAAGGTGGTCAGGTCATTAAGGCTTTAATAGAGGTGATGAGACCAGCAGATGAATGATTAACACTAATTATCAAGAAGCTAGCCAAATCACAGGAGTTCAGACTGATCTGCAATCAGGAAATAAAGAATCACAGGAGTCCAATGTTTTCTCTTACCTGTGAGCCCTTTCCGGTGCTGCCAGCAGAAAAGTTGATGTGAACTGCAAGAAAAGAAAAGAGAATTGTTGTTCTTTAAGACAATGTTACAAATAGGAGCAAATCATTTGAAACTGAACCATAAACAGTCTCTTCTTTTATCAAGGTTGTCTAAAAGCTGCCTTACACAGGCAGGGCTACACAACAAAAGACTGCTATAGGCTATTATAGTTGGAATATTTGTCTTTATTAGGATCTCCATTAGCACTAGCATGAGCATTGGCTATTCTTCCTGGGGTCCTCACACACTCAAAACATACATAAACATACATACAACAAAATTAAAACAAAACAGCTCATAATTTCATGCAATTTACAGTGAAATGAAGTGAAAACTAAAATGGTCATCCAATTATCGCCATCCTAAGGCCAAACAAAAGTAAATACAAATAAGTGTACATAATATATGCATACATAGCCACAGGCACAGTTCAAATTTACTTTGTAATACTTAAATATATTTTTAGCAACCTTTTGAAATGTACTTGAGAATTTTCCTGAATGATGTGAAGTTGTGAACCGGTAAAGAGTTCCAGCTGATCATGGCTCTGTACTGTTTTCTGTCCCATGTTTGATTTAGATTTGGGTAATACAAACCTTCCTTCTATTGTATGTCGTGTTTGATAGTTATGTTGTGCATATTGCGCTATAAACCTTTGTGATAATATATCTGGTGAGTGAGTCACTGTAATATTTCTGACAACATTTAATAAAATATAAGTTGACCTCTGTCTGACAGTTAACCATTTCAGTGTCTCCAGCAATACACAAAACATTTCAGTGTCTCCAGGAATACACAAAACATTTCAGTGTCTCCAGGAATACACAAAACATTTCAGTGTCTCCAGCAATACACAAAACATTTCAGTGTCTCCAGCAATACACAAAACATTTCAGTGTCTCCAGCAATACACAAAACATTTCAGTGTCTCCAGCAATACACAAAACATTTCAGTGTCTCCAGCAATACACAAAACATTTCAGTGTCTCCAGGAATACACAAAACATTTCAGTGTCTCCAGCAATACACAAAACATTTCAGTGTCTCCAGGAATACACAAAACATTTCAGTGTCTCCAGGAATACACAAAACATTTCAGTGTCTCCAGGAATACACAAAACATTTCAGTGTCTCCAGGAATACACAAATCATTACAATTAAAAAGATAACTCGGAGCCTAAGTCCTTCGTGCGGAGTATGTGTTGGATCGTTGAGAGCACCATTCATCTAGTTGAGTTTATAATTAGAGCCCTGAGAGCTTCTATCCAATTAAATTGCCATCGATTCTGAGACCAGGAAAATCTTCTCAGAAAGATTCCCGGGATTTCAAATCAATACATCAAAAAACAGCAATGTCTCAGAGAATTAATTCACAAAGCCGTTTACATCAAATCAGGCAGCTTGCACTTCAACATCAGTCAGCTTTGAATCTGACTTTAACTAGGTAATAGACCTGAGAAAGAGCTACACTCTCTCCTCCTGGCTCGCTGTGGCAGCCATTAGCCGGCCACTGAGAGCGTTGATTAAAACTAAAAGCTAAGGTATCTAGAAAGAATCCAGCAGAAATTCCTGTGGTAGTATTATATCCAATGTCCACACAAAAAGTCCTACAGTATATAAAATAGGAACATATTTCATAAAAAGGATACCATCTGTGTAATTTTGACCAGCTACAGTAAATTGGCTTAAAAGCAAGAAAACCCTCTTATTAAATGATTCAGAGGAGCTGATAGAACTTCAAAACACTTCAGTGTGTAAAGCCATCAGTTCAGAACAAACGCACAGTGTAATGAACCTAATTATTCAAGTCATGAAAGCACAAAAAAAATAACAAAGTCCAATTTGGCCAACCATGCAAAAGGATTATTCGGTGCATGTTCTTTTCAAAGAGAAGACGTCTGCTCAGTAAAAATAACCAAATGAAGAAGGTAGTGATTACAGTTACACCTTTTTTTTTTTAAAAACAGATTTTCACAGATACACTAAGTACTAAATACACTAAGATTTCAAAAAGAGAATCGTATGTTCAAACACATTTTCTTTCCGAAGCTGCTTATTTTTTATATAACAGAAAACTAGTTAAACTATAAACTGCAATTAACAGAGTATTTTTGTAATGAGGACTGTTTAGGATGAAACACAATCAGAGCTGCTCATGAGCTTTCAGATGAAGCCGTGGCCCTGGAAGTATTGAAACGATGCTGAAACAATTACAATCATTCAATTGTTTAATATACAGAATAATATATAGCACGGATAGGAAGTTAAAAATCATCATAACGTAAAGGGGGAACCTGTACATTTGATACAACTGATAACACTGTCTCCCGATATGGATGAATGGCCCTGAACACAAAAGAAGACCTTGAGCATCGATTGTCCACTGCCATCTCCAATGTCAAGAAGGAAAAGTCAAGCTCGACATGCTGACAAATTCCTGTTCTTCCAAACACCAATTCGATATTTCTCACAGTAATTAACTTTGTATTTATCTACTGCTCATTTTAAGTGTCCTTGATCTCTTCAAGAGAGAACATTATGGCTTCTAAAGAAAAGTAAAGCACATGCATGTTGAAAAAAAACAAGCGATATAATGTGGGAAAATATAATGATTTGCATTACAACCCCTCTTTTTTTTTAAAGCAACAAAAAGCCAGCTATACCAAACTCTACTCTACTACATAATGACTAATTGACATAATTTCCTGCTGCCAAGTGTACAAACATAACATCAGATTCTTAAATCCCACCTCTGTATAATGAGATTGACTACATTGTAACCTGGCATCTACGTGTTGAAGTGAAAAGAAGCTTCCTCCAGGAATATGTCCATAATACATTCTGCTCATTCTGCCCATCTTTTCACGGCTTACCCTGGAGAGGGAGAGGCTGAGACACAATGAGCGAGAGTGGGAAAGTAACTCCCTACATAATGTCAGGACTGCTGATCGGAGCACCTCCATCTCATCGCCTCTCCAGCCTACATAATCGAGTCTGTTGTTTCCAACCGTGTTTTCAAAATGAGCCGCACCGAGGAGAACTATCTTGCTTTGATTTTACAAACTCTACAAAGTGCTTTACACGCCGAAACCTCAGGATGGTTTGGATGAATTCCTTTCAACAAGATCTCAATTTATATTGTCTTTGTAATAAAAGCAGATGGCTGATGGAATTAGCCAGGAAACAAACTTAACCATGGGAGAGAATCAAGTTGGTGGTGTACAGAGAAAATATGTACAGTGTGTACTTCACAGGACTACGATTTGTCTTTATAAGAGTTGAACGATTTTCTTCTAAGAAACTACTGAAAAAAATCTTCATTCAGGGCAATTAAAAAATTATTTGCTACTTTGAAAGTGATTTGGTGTCTTACAAAAGTTTTCACATCACTCAAGATTAAATGGGTACGGCAGGAGTGGGAATGAATGGAGACACAACATGAAAGCACTTTGGAAGAACTACACATTGTGCACTACACAATTCACATTAACAAAGGCAGCTATCCAGGTGCTATAGTTACTTCAGTGCTAATTAGCAGTGAGTGTCAGCTTTAAAAAGGGGCTCTGATAATCCTCATGCCCAACTTAAACTTAAAAAGCCCCCGAAGAGGAGAGAATAGTGAAAAGCCTTCATCTGGCAAAGACAATCAAATCTAAAATCATGCAACAATGCAGGCCAAAGCACTAACTTCCCCAGGTGGAGGGCCATACAAAGAGAGAATATAATTACTACTGGTGGTGACGAACAAGATTCAAATGGGATTCTCATGTCACCTTGTTTCTGCCATTAAGGAGTGTTAAAATGTAACAGTTAACTTTCATCTTGCTTTATTCATGCAGAATGTATGACTGCAGAGTGTTTTGGAGTCCACAGTCAACACAACACGGGTGTTGAATGCCGAGTCTAGCTGTTAGCTAACGGACTGTGTGTCAGCACTGAAATTGGTATACGCAAGTATTACAACCATACTGGATGCTTCTATGATTTCAATGCCAATGTTTAACTTTCTGTGCCAATGCATGCATTGCTTCATATGTAGCGAGGTGTGTGTCTAGTATGCAAGTGTAGCAATAAGGACTGATGCAGGAGATGGGTGTTCGCTACACGGCACAATTTAGGTTTGCCTTTCTATGACAACCATGTTGATTGACTTTTCTAAACCTTGACCTTTTAACTGAGCACAGATATTGCAGAAAGCAAGAGTTTTCAAAAACCTGCGGGTTAAATGAAAAAAGGACATCAATTAATGTCAATGAACCTATTCTGGGTTAGCAGAATCGCTCTATATGGAAACTCTTGTCAGGCAATATGGTTCATGCCTCAGAAATTGTGATGGACCAGACTAAGAGTGATTTTAAAAACGTATAAAAAGTCAGAATTCCTTCTTTTAAGACCCCTATCAGTTTAACATACAAGGAATAGAGTCACATAACTCAATAAGAAACGTGTTTGAACTCATGCAGACCCGTCAATTTCTGTTGCCTGTAGAACAAATCATGTCTGTTTGCTTCTTTAAAATGTGCTTTGTGTTCAGTGTAAAAAAAAACATCTTAATGAAAGATTCAGCTGTGTCCCTATTAATCAAACATTGCTTAAAGATCTCCTATCGTGCTATTTTTAGGCATATATTATGGGTCTCATATATATATACACAAATATATTAAAAACATGTCTATGATGTATTATGCTCAAAATACCAAACAGATAATGCATTTTAGACATCCCTCATATCCCTCTATTTCAGCCCTGTTAGAGAAGTGCTGATCCTCAGTCAGTAGATGCTGGCCCCGCCCCCTTTTGAGCAACATTGTGAGCTGCAGAGGGAAGAGAGAGATTTCTACCGGCAGATACAGCTAAATACTTCCATATCATGTTCCAAACCACTTCAAGGATTATTTCTGAAACAGTATGGAGCTCAAATGCTTTTTCTTTTGCGGGTTTATCACAAGGAGAGTTCCTTTTTTATTTCCTGCTTTTGTTGTCTTCAGTACAGCTTAGCTCTGAGTGAACGGCCCCTACACACGGCGTGCGTAAGGGTGCATTCACACCTAATAGTTCGCTTCTCTGGTGCGCACCAGACCACAGTTTGTTACATTGTTTCATTTTTCAAAAGGTTCAGTTTGCGTTCACAGCAAAACTCAAACGGACTATAAACTTTAAACACAAGTCATGTGCACGGAAATGCTGTTCAACCATTGGTCAGACATTAAGGGGGTAAAAACGCAAATCCCGGCAATTTCTACCGGAGCCTCCGCCATGGAGCATCGGCACTTTCGGCAGGTTATTCTCATGCTGCTGTTAATCTGGAGATCAACAGACACTAGCGGCCCGCGCATATGATTATATAATCAGACAACGTCCGTTAAAAAACATTATAACATAATGAGAGACGTTCTGCAGTAAGGAGGGGCGTTTCACCGACGACAGGTGTTCTTCATTTTATGAAGTTGACGGAGCATTTTTACTTTACACGACACTGTTCAACACTTCATTCTGCTTCACTCTTTAACTAAACAACTGCGGATGTCTTGAAAGACTCTTTCGTTAAAGATTTTTGAAGACATCCGCATTATTGTGACACGTAAATACTACGCTTCCTGTTTGGTGCGGACTGCGTTCACACCAGCAATGAACCGCTCCAGAGTTTGCAAGCAAGCTTTCCGAGACCACCTATTTTAGCGGACCAGAGTCCGGTTGTTTAGTTCACTTCAGAGGTCTCGGACTGCGTTCACACCGACCCAAATGAACCGCACCAAGCGGCTAAACGCACCAGGGTTCGATTTAACCGGACTATAAACGGCTGGTGTGAATGCACCCTTAGTGATGCTTGCTAATGTAAACAAAGACCATATTACTTCCAAAACACGTCGGGCATTGATTCTGATAGCAACTTTCGGATCGGGCCGTGGGTCCACATTTCCGATATTACGTCATATCCGACGTAAATCTGGATCAGCTCTGTTGTACCCCCGTTTTTAGAGACTTGGGTACGGAGGAAAAGAGAGAGGGTTTTATTTTCTGACACTTACTGAGTTCCCTGACACACCGGGGACACATATTTATGTATAAAAGACATCAGTGCATTTTGCACGATAGGACACCTTTGCAGATTAAACTCATTTGATCCTTTTGATCCTGTGTCCTGGATCCTGAGTCATGTGTCCTGGATCCTGCATCCAGTGTCCTGGATCCTGAGTCCTGGATCCTGAGTGCTGGATCCTGTGTCCTGGATCCTCTATCCTGCGTCCTGGATTTGAGTCCTGGACTTCGAGTCGTGGCTGAACCTATCACTGTGGTCCTGCCTGACTCATCATACTACTTCCCTGATGGCTCCCACAGGATTGTTGACATCCTCGTGGATTCATCTTCTTATTATAGACACATGCATTTCCAAACATTTGGACTACCTATGCTGTCAAATGTATTATCTCTTCGATTTACACACGGCATCTATTGCATGTCTGTCCGTCCTGGGAGAGGGATCCCTCCTCTGTTGCTCTCCCTGAGGTTTCTCCCATTTTCCCCTTTAAACTGGACGTTTTTCCTTGTACGATGTGAGGGTCTTAGGACAGAGGGTGTCGTATTGTCATACTGATATTCTGTACAAACTGTGAAGTCCATTGAGACAAATGTAACATTTGTGATATTGGGCTATATAAATAAACATTGATTGATTGATTTAGCCTTGTTGGCGAAAATCCTTTAAAGTGAATCACAAAATTATTTCTATTAATATTTCAATGATAAACATTTTGCGGTGATAGACGCAGCCAACTGATTATAATAAAAGTAGCTCCTCAAAGAAGTGGCACAGATGGCACACAGTATGCACTGCACATACAATTGTAATAATGCATCTGATTTAATGTTAGGTATGCAAGAAGAACAGGCTTCATCTGGCATTGTGTCAAATTAAATCAAAACTTTGTATTTCCACTCAGGCACTGAAGCAGCCAATTAGAAGTTGTACAGGCAAATCTTAACCCAGTTTTGCTGCTGGTTGGAATTCTCTTAATACTATCTTTATCTTGATTCAGTTAACATCCTTTGTTTTGTGTGAAGGCCCTCAAGCACTTCTAAACGAATAACAGACATAGTTATCTTTTCAGAATATGCTGCATCCCAAAGAGTTTTGCCTGTGGATGGTATCTCTAATGGCTGCCGATCCACTTCAGCAGGGGCTTTTCAGTTTAGCCACAGCAGCAGCTGGACCTTGAAAACCTCTTGAATCACAGCCCTCATCATCCTCTCACCCAGCATGCTGAGAAGACTCAATTCGGCTACTAGTGTCTGCAATCTCAGTCCTCCAATCACTTAAAAAACATGTGTCAACAGCTGGCTGTCAACTTAAGGTTGTTTGTGAGTTTTTTTGCTGTAATTAAGTTATCTTCTAACCATCATCATCTACAATAACCTTACAATACTTAAGAACATTTTTGAGTGAAAGCTTAAATATAAGATATTCAAGATAATGAACCTTAAACTAAGATGACAATGCAGCACTAACCAATGAGAGGTTGGTTCCTGTATTATAAAACAGAACAATCAGCCTAAAAATGGAATCCAGATTTTGGTTCAGTACTCTCTCTTTCCAAAATACCACACATCATTGTAGTTGTATAACTATATCAACAATCACATTGAGACTTTGTGGATTTAGCACAACTGCCAAAATTGCAATACGGCCTGTCTGGAATGCTGGATCATCCAACTTGGAGGTTGCTGCTCCTCATGCCGACTGCATCGCACTCACATGGCTCCAATGCACATCAGAAATGACAGTCTGTTGATGTCTCGTGGACCACATCATTGAAAAACAGCGGAGGTGGCACCATAATGTCATCAAATTGGACCTGGGCTGCTCCTTGGTGTTAGGTCCATGAATATTACATACAGGGGGAGCAGAAGAGCAGCCCTGTCAGAGTCAGCAGCCCAACTAAACATGCTCAACTCTGTGCCACACACAGCTTTCACTTGTGCACAGGATACCAGTGGATTGCAAGAATGACTGGCTGCCCACACTACTCTATTTTTTACATATCAACAGGCAATATCTCTGAAGTATAGGTTTTTGGGCATTTTCAGGATTGCTAATATCGAATATTCACCCATTCAAGCTAATAAACTAGTGCGATAAGCCTTATGTGACCCCTAACCAGAAATTGAGGGTAAAACATGTCATCAATTATATTTGATATGTCCTTCCTAAAAAAGGTCAATGTGGCAAAACTGAATATAATTTGATGATGTCAGTTAATTGTCTAGCATGAGTGAATAAGGTGAAAAGTAGGCAGATGAACAATGCATTAGGGTGGCAAAGTGTATATTTCAAACTGAATATTATAGATTGAATGAAATTAATAATAAATCACTGTTACCTGAAGATAATTCTTGCAGCGTTAAGATTCCATAATACCATCCTTGAAAACTGTTAGCTCCGTTTGTAGTCTTCAACACACAATTATTTCCTAAGTTATTGACCCAGGCAGATGTAGCCCTTTTTCTGCAGTAACAACATATTAGCAGATCCTTGTGTTTTCTGGCATTTCTTATAACGGTGACAATTTTCAGTCCCATCAAGGCAGACAGTCTCCAGCGCTCAGCATTTATCACCACATTCCAGGAGGACGGCCATAGTACACAAGGCCAATGCAATATTGGTCACTGACTGTAATTCTCTCCACAGCTGCAGCCACTCATTGTGTGCTGCTGCACCCAACCTAATGGACATGACACATCACTGAATACATTAGATACTGTATAGCAGAACATATGCAGGGACAAACTGCATATATTTCTATTATAAATGGTCAAATAAAATCACCTGAAATATTTGACATTCAAGCCATTAACTATTTATAATTAAGCAATCACTTCCATGGAATGTAAGTAAACATGTGATCAAGCACAAGTCGAGAATTACTTATAAATATTTGTATTTAAAATTAAGCATAATTGCGTTTTTTTAGTAGTCTGTTAGCACTGTGGGTATGCTGGCAGCAGAGGAATAAATTAGTGCACGTCGTTCACTCTTCTACTTAGTTGCTAAATGCATTGTACACAATACATCCAGACTGACTTGGTAAGGCTGACAGTAGCTGGGGCTTTAGGTGCATGTTTGCTCGGGCTTGCCTCCCACTCGTGCACCGTGGATATGACAGGAAGAAGCTACTTCACTGTTTGCAATCGTGAACACATTTTAAACACAAATGTGATTCCAAAAGGAGGAGATTTTCCAACCTTTTCCTGTGATTAACTCCGGTATAAACTTGCAGTTAGTGCTCTGCATAAACCCACATGGCGTGCACATCGCCTTTCAACTCCTCAGGAAGTTGAGGCGAATCATGGCTCCGCACTTCACAAACAGTTAGGGACTCAAAGATCGTAAAACGTTACACTGTCGTTTCTTTCCAAACATAGCTTCACCTTTGCAAACAACACACACTGTTTACTGTGGAGGGTGTCAGTACGTCCCTCACAGCTGTGTGGTCCGAGCCCACTGACATGAAGATTAGAAAGTAAAGTGAGTCCTACTTACAGACGGAGAGGAAAATCAAACAGCCTGCCACTTTGTGCCCGATGTGAGGGTTGTTCGACAGCATCCTGGGAGAGTCCTGTAAGCAGTGTGGAAGGTGGAGGAAGCTCGCAGTGTATGAGCTTTCTGACAGTGCTAAAAAAAAAACTAAACACAACAGGGCTTTTCCCTTTTCTCAGTTTCACGGAAAACGGGGAGTGTGCTCTGCTAGGAGGCTTCAGGTTTTCTGTACGAGGCGCAGCGACGCGCTCTGCTGGCGGGAAGAGCTCACTGAGGCAGCGCGAGCTAACATCACACAGTTTAATTAATGTATGGCTTTAGCGGTTCCTGTATTAAACCTCAACACTAGAGTTGTGTTCAGCTCTGCAGTTTATACAGATATAACTATAATGGGGCTGCAGCCAAGATTTGAGAAGTTCGATGTCAGGATTATTCTCATTAAAGATGACTTTGCCAATGAATTGCTTCGTTGATTAGATATATTTAATGGAAAAAAAACTCAATAAGCCTGATTATGTAAGCTAATGATATAAAACAAAGCAGAACACATTCACAATTGATAAGCTGTTGCCAGCAAATGTCTGTCATTTGTGTTAAAAGAAAGACGTATGCCTATCTTTTGATTGATATATTGGTCAATATATCAAGTAGCTATACATTTTAACTCACCGCATGGTTTAATGCTAAACAAACGTAGGCCTACCATAAACACCCTCAAAAGATAAAGGTAGCTACCTAAAGCGAGTCTCATCACACCAGATAGGCCTACTCTGTGTTGTCATGGCGGGAAAGGCACAGCTGTAACTAATTGCATTAATTACGATGACTCTATTCAGTTAGAATAAATGCCAGTAGTCCCTGGATTTGGATCGTTAATGTTGTAAATAACTCTGTGTTTTGTCAAGACAACCATCTGCTGTGAAAATGCCAGTTAGGCTCACAGACAGTGTATGTCCATACTTGCCAACCCTCCCGATTTTCGCGGGAGACTCCCGATTTCACTGCCCTCTCCCGGTTTCCTCCCGGGGTTATATTTCTCCCGCATTTCTCCCGATTTCTGACAAAATCAGATTTACTCACGACTGTTTCCATTCTGACTTTAATACAGCTACACCATTGTTTGGTTTCCATGATAGCGCGTCTCTTTAGTAGCGTGCACAACTGAAAGTCTGAGAGGGTGAGGCAGAAACTCACAGAAAACTGAACAAGAATCGTCTCAAGGTTGGCACGTATGTGTATGTCACTGACAGTGATACCACAGGCTATGCCCACAGTAGCCTATAGATTTTTATGATTTAACCTTGGTGTATTCCAGTTAGAAATATGTTCAGTTGGAAACTGTGCTTGCACTTAGAGAAGCCACAGGGAGCAGCGACGTGCAGTCAGGGGAGGCAGGGGAGGCAGAGCCTCACCTGTCATACTCCAATGTAAGGGAAAAACAACTAAAGAAAAACTAAATAGTAATAATAATAAAATGTCTCCACTGATCTGTGTTGTAACTTGTAAATGTGATTTATGTATGATTCCAATCGCTTTTTATAGTCAAAATTAGCAAATTTGCCGAGCTCCGCTACAACTACGGGTAGCGATGAGAAGAAACGGGGAGTGTGCTCTGCTAGGAGGCTTCAGGTTTTCTGTACGAGGCGCAGCGACGCGCTCTGCTGGCGGGAAGAGCTCACTGAGGCAGCGCGAGCTAACATCACACAGTTTAATTAATGTATGGCTTTAGCGGTTCCTGTATTAAACCTCAACACTAGAGTTGTGTTCAGCTCTGCAGTTTATACAGATATAACTATAATGGGGCTGCAGCCAGGATTTGAGAAGTTCGATGTCAGGATTATTCTCATTAAAGATGACTTTGCCAATGAATTGCTTCGTTGATTAGATATATTTAATGGAAAAAAAAACTCAATAAGCCTGATTATGTAAGCTAATGATATAAAACAAAGCAGAACACATTCACAATTGATAAGCTGTTGCCAGCAAATGTCTGTCATTTGTGTTAAAAGAAAGACGTATGCCTATCTTTTGATTGATATATTGGTCAATATATCAAGTAGCTATACATTTTAACTCACCGCATGGTTTAATGCTAAACAAACATAGGCCTACCATAAACACCCTCAAAAGATAAAGGTAGCTACCTAAAGCGAGTCTCATCACACCAGATAGGCCTACTCTGTGTTGTCATGGCGGGAAAGGCACAGCTGTAACTAATTGCATTAATTAACGATGACTCTATTCAGTTAGAATAAATGCCAGTAGTCCCTGGATTTGGATCGTTAATGTTGTAAATAACTCTGTGTTTTGTCAAGACAACCATCTGCTGTGAAAATGTCAGTTAGGCTCACAGACAGTGTATGTCCATACTTGCCAACCCTCCCGATTTTCGCGGGAGACTCCCGATTTCACTGCCCTCTCCCGGTTTCCTCCCGGGGTTATATTTCTCCCGCATTTCTCCCGATTTCTGACAAAATCAGATTTACTCACGACTGTTTCCATTCTGACTTTAATACAGCTACACCATTGTTTGGTTTCCATGATAGCGCGTCTCTTTAGTAGCGTGCACAACTGAAAGTCTGAGAGGGTGAGGCAGAAACTCACAGAAAACTGAACAAGAATCGTCTCAAGGTTGGCACGTATGTGTATGTCACTGACAGTGATACCACAGGCTATGCCCACAGTAGCCTATAGATTTTTATGATTTAACCTTGGTGTATTCCAGTTAGAAATATGTTCAGTTGGAAACTGTGCTTGCACTTAGAGAAGCCACAGGGAGCAGCGACGTGCAGTCAGGGGAGGCAGGGGAGGCAGAGCCTCACCTGTCATACTCCAATGTAAGGGAAAAACAACTAAAGAAAAACTAAATAGTAATAATAATAAAATGTCTCCACTGATCTGTGTTGTAACTTGTAAATGTGATTTATGTATGATTCCAATCGCTTTTTATAGTCAAAATTAGCAAATTTGCCGAGCTCCGCTACAACTACGGGTAGCGATGAGAAGAAACGGGGAGTGTGCTCTGCTAGGAGGCTTCAGGTTTTCTGTATGAGGCGCAGCGACGCGCTCTGCTGGCGGGAAGAGCTCACTGAGGCAGCGCGAGCTAACATCACACAGTTTAATTAATGTATGGCTTTAGCGGTTCCTGTATTAAACCTCAACACTAGAGTTGTGTTCAGCTCTGCAGTTTATACAGATATAACTATAATGGGGCTGCAGCCAGGATTTGAGAAGTTCGATGTCAGGATTATTCTCATTAAAGATGACTTTGCCAATGAATTGCTTCGTTGATTAGATATATTTAATGGAAAAAAAAAACTCAATAAGCCTGATTATGTAAGCTAATGATATAAAACAAAGCAGAACACATTCACAATTGATAAGCTGTTGCCAGCAAATGTCTGTAATTTGTGTTAAAAGAAAGACGTATGCCTATCTTTTGATTGATATATTGGTCAATATATCAAGTAGCTATACATTTTAACTCACCGCATGGTTTAATGCTAAACAAACATAGGCCTACCATAAACACCCTCAAAAGATAAAGGTAGCTACCTAAAGCGAGTCTCATCACACCAGATAGGCCTACTCTGTGTTGTCATGGCGGGAAAGGCACAGCTGTAACTAATTGCATTAATTAACGATGACTCTATTCAGTTAGAATAAATGCCAGTAGTCCCTGGATTTGGATCGTTAATGTTGTAAATAACTCTGTGTTTTGTCAAGACAACCATCTGCTGTGAAAATGCCAGTTAGGCTCACAGACAGTGTATGTCCATACTTGCCAACCCTCCCGATTTTCGCGGGAGACTCCCGATTTCACTGCCCTCTCCCGGTTTCCTCCCGGGGTTATATTTCTCCCGCATTTCTCCCGATTTCTGACAAAATCAGATTTACTCACGACTGTTTCCATTCTGACTTTAATACAGCTACACCATTGTTTGGTTTCCATGATAGCGCGTCTCTTTAGTAGCGTGCACAACTGAAAGTCTGAGAGGGTGAGGCAGAAACTCACAGAAAACTGAACAAGAATCGTCTCAAGGTTGGCACGTATGTGTATGTCACTGACAGTGATACCACAGGCTATGCCCACAGTAGCCTATAGATTTTTATGATTTAACCTTGGTGTATTCCAGTTAGAAATATGTTCAGTTGGAAACTGTGCTTGCACTTAGAGAAGCCACAGGGAGCAGCGACGTGCAGTCAGGGGAGGCAGGGGAGGCAGAGCCTCACCTGTCATACTCCAATGTAAGGGAAAAACAACTAAAGAAAAACTAAATAGTAATAATAATAAAATGTCTCCACTGATCTGTGTTGTAACTTGTAAATGTGATTTATGTATGATTCCAATCGCTTTTTATAGTCAAAATTAGCAAATTTGCCGAGCTCCGCTACAACTACGGGTAGCGATGAGAAGAAACGGGGAGTGTGCTCTGCTAGGAGGCTTCAGGTTTTCTGTACGAGGCGCAGCGACGCGCTCTGCTGGCGGGAAGAGCTCACTGAGGCAGCGCGAGCTAACATCACACAGTTTAATTAATGTATGGCTTTAGCGGTTCCTGTATTAAACCTCAACACTAGAGTTGTGTTCAGCTCTGCAGTTTATACAGATATAACTATAATGGGGCTGCAGCCAGGATTTGAGAAGTTCGATGTCAGGATTATTCTCATTAAAGATGACTTTGCCAATGAATTGCTTCGTTGATTAGATATATTTAATGGAAAAAAAAACTCAATAAGCCTGATTATGTAAGCTAATGATATAAAACAAAGCAGAACACATTCACAATTGATAAGCTGTTGCCAGCAAATGTCTGTCATTTGTGTTAAAAGAAAGACGTATGCCTATCTTTTGATTGATATATTGGTCAATATATCAAGTAGCTATACATTTTAACTCACCGCATGGTTTAATGTTTAATGCTAAACAAACATAGGCCTACCATAAACACCCTCAAAAGATAAAGGTAGCTACCTAAAGCGAGTCTCATCACACCAGATAGGCCTACTCTGTGTTGTCATGGCGGGAAAGGCACAGCTGTAACTAATTGCATTAATTAACTATGACTCTATTCAGTTAGAATAAATGCCAGTAGTCCCTGGATTTGGATCGTTAATGTTGTAAATAACTCTGTGTTTTGTCAAGACAACCATCTGCTGTGAAAA